TTATCTATAGATTCAAATATCTTGTCTTGGTATTATTGTGCCAGAGATATGATTTAGCAGAGAGAGTGGTTCCAGGCAATAACCTCCCCCAGCGTCGTCTATGATTCACGATTGGTAAACAAAGGACCAAAAACAAGTCATCGAATGAAAAAAAAACTTCCCAAAATATGAACTGACTATCTTTGTCAGGTTTACAGAATAGTTCATTCATGTTAATGCTGTTCTTCTATAATTAATGCTAGTCCGTTTCAAATACTGCTTCCTTGACATTTTGGCCTGAGTCTGCATGAAGATACATGACATGATGGATCCCTCATCTCGAGGGAGATGCCAGGTAAAGCTGAGTCTGGCAAAGACATCAGAGAAAACCGCGGACGATGGTAAGTGCACTCCAGCAAATTATCCACTATTCACCTCTATCATGAAGCCACAATATTGCCCATGGCTATCATCATCGACTCCGCTTCACCCTGGTGTTTTGAACATTTCACTTTCAGAAATTATCAATGGCTTTCTTAAGACCTACCCTGAGTTTGAGAATTTTTTTTATACTATTGCTAGAGATTCCTACAGCTGTAGACAGCAATCATGGGGATTTTTTATGGACATAGGATTGGAAGACGGCGGAATGCGGTTTGATGTATGCAGAAGGAATGAATTCTTGAGACAAGATTATGGACAAGAGGTGAGTAGAAGTAGAAGAGGAATGGAAGAAGGAAACGGTAAAAATGATCCTGATGGGGCACTGCCTTCTCGAAAGTAACAGATTGGCTAGCACAACTGGAGATGAAATGAGACCAAAAGGCTGGAATAACAAAAGCTAGGATAGCAAAACAAATCCCAAAAGATGCTCTTGTCAGAATAATAGAGAAACCATTGTGACGAATTCAGTAATAAGGGAAAAAATCGATTTTTTAATTAAAAGCAGTATGGAGACTCACATGGGTACTGAAGCGGACATTTGTAATTCATTAAAAAAAAGAAAATATGATTGGGGGAAGTGCTTTCTGTGTCTGAATCAAGAGGGTCTGAAGAGACCAAAGGTTCAGAAAATAAAGCGCATTCAGGTATTTTCAACAACGTAGCTGACAGTTTACGGAGAAGAGTTTGCTGACAGTTCTCTATGTCAACCATCGGACTTAGGAACTTGATGTGTAAGGAACTCAGCGATGAACGAGCAGTCAAACATGAATGCACATATGTGGCCGATGTATCCACTGTGTTGAGAGATTCTTCAACAAGTTATCACACCTATCATCACATAACTGTATGGCTCAACTGAGCTGTATCTTGAGGCCCCTTTCCAAAGTTTCGCTGACGTATAATTGCTCTACATGTCAGAATATACATAAAAGGAGCAGCGCTCCCTCTGGTGAAGCAAATTTTTTATGAGCTCAACTTGGCTTTGTTCTGTCCTTGTGAGTGTCATAACGATGTGTCTTCTCTGTATTACAAGATTAAAATGGTGGTGCGCTTCATTTCACGTTCTACAACCTTGCTTAGAATGATGTGATGAACTTCATCTGGCAGAGACAGAAGTTGTCTCATGACTAACGAATTTGCATTGTACACCTTCAACTTTTTTTGTTTAAGTAGAGGCTTTACAGCACTCGCACCTGCATAAGGTCATACGAACGCTAAGGGGTGGATGTCAACAGAGAAGACCTTACAGGGAATCAGACTTACTCTGCTCACCTTTCTAGCTTCAGCAGCACAAAGTCTGCTTCGACTATCAAGGCACCCCAGAAATAGCGGGTCACAAGAGTGTGACAAACATACAATAGAAGTAGAGGAAAATGACGACAGCAAGGATTAGGAAAGAAAAAGCAGCTGTTCCCTGTTGTAGTTCAGGCACAGTATGAGCATGACATTGTTAGATCAGCCATTTACAATTCTATTGTGCACTAGAACGAGAAATGTCCCCCCTTTGGGAATGACCTAAAGATACTTCAGTCAGTGGCACAACCACGGGGAGTTTCAACTTTTAAAAATGAATCCTGGCTGCCAAAAGTACCTCCATACGGTGATGATTGGACATACCAAAACCGCTATTCAACTTTGGCAAAGCCACTTCTTTTTTGTTGTTGCTAGAAACAAGTTTGAAATTGAACAAAGAATACCAGAAAAGGAGCATCTTACAAATAAACGTGGGTTTCCAAGCTCAATTGTATCGAGGGGAGGTTGAAGAACTCCCCTACTTATGTGTCAGCACAGTACGTCCATAAAACACAGTCATCACGCTCAAACCCAATCCCTACCATGTGAAATCTCTGCAACACTAATGAATTTCAGGATTACACGAGCATTTCCGACCATTTCCAACCCAGCAGGAAAGCTGGGGACTCTTCAATGATGGACAAGAGGTGTATCCTGATGAGTCACGGAGGTGAGCCCTACAAGTACCAAATTCTCCCAAGAGGTAAAACCAACCAAAGTGGGAGCTGGTTGACCCGACACCTGTCTACAATAGCTCCAGGAAAATGAAAAAAGGAGAAATACTGACATCTCCAAACGATGTAAGAGGTCATGCCAGTTGACTACCATCCATTTTACCATGCTCTGTCAACTGACTAGCACCAAACAATGCTGATAGGGAAAGTAGAGACTCACAATCGTTGAATTCAAATGTGATTTTTTCGTCTATGTAGCTTACACTGTTTCATTATTTATTATAATGTAGTAACTCAAGCGTGAGAAATGATGAAAGATAATGCACAGGAGGAAATGAACCCCACCTAGGTGAAATCAAATGACACTGGTTACTATATTCTTTCAATCATGCCCCAGACAATAAGATGCAAAGTGACCAAATTTTAAATGTTATTATAATTCAGCCAAGAATCAAACCCAGAACCTAATCTCCTGATCCAGATTAGCACCCTGAGACCAACATGTGCCATACCAAAGCCCTGCCCTTGGAGGATATCAAATAAAACGGGAGGTTTTCTCAGACAAATACAAAAAAAAGTCTTGTCATAGCTTTTTAAACAACTTAATTTGGGTCGGTTTGGGGTTTTGTTTGATATTTTTGTAAACACAGAGAGGTCTTCTTACCAACAATTCTAGTCAATCAATTGATGACCTGCACATTGGGATATTTCACGTAGTACAGCTAAATTTCCACAAGTGCAGAAAAAGTCTCCCCCCCCCCCTCCACTTGAATAACCTAATGGTGTTGATAGGGGCATTAAACCTTAAACATAGCACATGTTCACAGTATTGGCCTTCAGACACTGGATCGACTACTTCTCCTACTCCTACGAGGGCTGTCCCACGGAAAACCGGAATTTAGCTGTATTTTGAAAACTATTCAATATTTTCACATTCTGTAAACTCATATTTGTAAAACACTCATTAAGAAATTTCCTGATTGAGCACCATGAGCATCGCACAAACCAAACGAACACAGCAGTTCTCCAAAGATGGCTACCCCCTTGGAAAATTGGTCAAGGACAGAAGTGAGGTCTCTCATTCGGTTTCTGACCACAAAAGGTCTTAAACCTATAGAAATACCCACTGAAATAAAGTAAGTTTACGGGGAGAAAGTAATGGCAAAGTCTCAGGAATGAGTGGTGTAGTAAATTCAAAGCCGGGCATACGGATATCAATGACAAATTCATGCAGGACCTTGTTTTTCTGCCAAGACTGAGGACAACAAGAGTCGCGTTAACAAACTCATTTAAACAGACAGGCGCCTAAAAATTCGCGAAATTTCCGAGTCGTTAAACATTTCAAAGTCGACTGTCCTTAGGATAATGTTTGATGAGCTGCACTATCAAAAGGTGTCTGCTCGATGGGTCTCAAAAGAGCTGACAGCTGACCACAGGACGCAACGTATTGAAATGACTCAGACTTTGTTGAATCGTTGTCGCCAAGCTGTCACAAGAATGCATCTAGAGACCTCCAACAATACGATGAAGCATTCCAGAGAAGCATTATTACAGGTGATGATACTTGGATACACCACATGACCCCTGAGACGAAGAGGGATTCAATGGTAAGGAAGCACACGTCTTCACCTCCCCCGAAAAAGTTTAAAGTTCTGCCATCGGTGAAGACTCATAGCCACGGTTTTCTGGGGTGCTAAGGGTGTTCTGCTTTTTGACATTCTGGAACCAGGACAAACTGTTAATGCTAACAGATACTGCCAGACTCTTGATAAGGTTGAGAGAGGTTGTGCGCGGAAAAAACCAGGCCGGTTGTCCAGCGGGGTCATTTTGCAGCATGACAACGCAACGCCACACACCGCAAACGCCACGAAAGACTGGATCCAAAGGTTCAGCTGGGAAGTTCTGTCAAACACCCTTCATAATCCTGACTTGGCTTTGTCAGATTATCATCTTTTTGGACCAATGAAGCGCCATATTTCTGGACAGCGATTCACCGACGACGAAGACCTCGTGGAAGCCGTGAAAGATTGGTTGAAATCCCTTGGCGTAAAATTCTTCAGGGAGGGTATCTTCTCCCTGATCCAGCGATGGGAAAAATACGTCCAGATGGATGGTGATTACATTGAGAAATAAAGCACATTTTGATGTATGATGTGTTACATTTTTATTATAATAGGACAAAGATTGTTGATTTTACGGACCTTTTCCAGTTTTCCGTGGGAGAGCCCTCGTAGTATTGGTCACATAATGTACAATATTAGGCGAGAGAGCTGCTAGGATGTTAAATCTATCAAAGTCTCCATCATGAATCGACAGGTAATTAAGTTTGAACACACACATCCCAGTAACCAGGGTTAATTAATTTACTGATAAAAGGTCAGTGAAAGTACCGAACTGGACATTCTAATCTAGAGCATTTTAAGTATGAATCAACCAGGTTAAGATCTGAACCCAGTTTGAACCAGTCAGCTTTCATTAAGAAAGTTCTATTAGTTTAAATGTTTAAATAATATAACTCGCCGTCGAAAATGTAGATCTAGGCCTATACTTCTTATGACGACAAACAGTGGCACAAAGAGCTGCGCCTGACCGGCTACATGACACCTCATGTCATGGCTATGTGCGGAAGCGTCATGCACGAACTTGCTTAGTGCAGAGAACCAGTCACCTACATTGTGCTGCACATTTTTTGTCATCCTATAACCGGCTACGCGCGAAATAAAACTATCAGTTGCAGTATTTAAGAAAAATCAAGTAGTATTTGGTCCCAGCACTTATCTTTTTTTATCTTCATTTTCCTTTTTCTAGTATCTGTTATTATTAGTCTCATAGAGGCTGGCTCGACATAATTTGGGATGCATGGGTAACAATAATAATTGCATTTATATGTAATCCAAATCCACGCTCTGCAAAGTCTACAGCAAGCTCAGTGTGCTTTATGCATATTTGTTATCAAAGTTACCACAATTAGGAAAAAAATACACATAGATCTGCAGTAGATAGAGTGCCAGAGCCTTAAATTCTTTTATAAATAGTGAAAGATCTTGTCATTTTGTTCGTGTTTGAGTGCTTGCTCTTTGTTTCAGCTGCTTGCATTGTATGCCTCCCAGGAAGCTGAGAATGGTTCCGAGTGTTCTATGGTCTGCTGGAGTAATAATTATATCCCGTGTAAAGCACATAGAGCTTGCTGCAGAATGGGGTTATGCGCTATACAAATGCCATTTATCATTATTATTATTACTTTATTGAATCATTTTATCCCGTTACAAATCTCTGCCACTCCACCGTGAGAAAATGTGACGATGTGGCGCCAGACCAAAGCCAGATTAAGTTATAGACAGGATTTGTATCAACACCAAAGCTTTCACTCTCTATCCCATCCCTTGTACACACTGAAGAACCCATCTTAACATATGTACGAAATCAACTTCTACGGCCTACTGTGGGTCACACAGGTGCAATTCACAATGTTGGATATTGTTATATTTCAGTATCTTTCAGTGTAGATTTTTTTCTGCTGTTCTGTATTAAGTGGTTGTATATTGTGTATGTGTGTGCGCGCGCGCGCGCGTGTGTGTGTGTGTGTGTGTGTGTGTGTGTGTGTGTGTGTGTGTGTGTGTGTGAGAGAGAGAGAGAGAGAGAGAGAGAGAGAGAGAGAGAGAGAGAGAGAGAGGTGGGGGAGGGGGGGGGGAGAAAAGATGAGAGAAAGAGAGAAATTATCACTATTAGAAATGTATGGTGTTCTTGTTCTTTCTATTATTGTTAAGTATAATAATGTTATGCATAAATTTACTTTGTGGAAATGTGCTGTACGTGAAATTTATCATTATGCTATTATTATATTTATTATTATTATTATTGTCATTATTTTCAATGGGATTTTGTCAATGTTTGGACCAATGCTAAAGCCAGTGCAGACGTCTGTCTAAATGCCTGCTATAAAAGAACACTTTTACTATACGGTACAATATAAGAAACCGGACCCAGGGATTTATTATAAGACTGCTATAGCCAGAATTCTGTTATAATTGTGACTGTTATAAGTGGGGCCCACTGTACACCCTCAATGAGCAATTGGGAACCAAAAAATAATAGCAAGCAAAAGAGACAGGGCCAGAAATATGGACATGTGATGGGAATCATGGTTGCCGTCTTCGAGAAGGAAAGAGGAAAGCAACTGCTCAATTATGCCACCCATGTGTCATTCTCTCTTTGTCATTACTACAATACCGACTATGGATCCAACAAGACCTCAGACTCATTAAGGACCATGGGTCAGTCCTGATGACCTCTTTATATTGAAGACTCACTGTAGTCAGAGCTTAGGTTCTAGATATGTTTTTGAAATGGTCAGTTTCCTTGAAGCAAGTATACATGCTTCATGAACACTCCTGTATCTGACACTGACCTGCACCTTTCTTGGGGCCTTCCTTACCTTCAGCACCACCAGAAGATGAGCCACTAGGTCCTGGTGTACTGGAGGATGATCCACCACTTTCTGCAGAGCCTAAAGACGTACTATTCACACAGTCATCAAAGGACTGAGAACCTACGTCCGCAGTGGATTTTCCTGTGAACGACAACAAGACGTGTGAAAAAAACCCAAAAAACAAAAGTGTTATTGAAGAAGTCGAGGAGTGCAATGAACTAAAACAAGAGTTGAATTGTAAAACATCAATAACTAAATATAACTTCAGGTTGGCCAATACATGGCCAATACATGGATTGTCAAAGTGCATTGAACAACAAACTCTATGAAAAGCAGCGACATGCACACACTTTGCACTACCAATTAGAGGTTTTCTTTCACAGACACCAATGCATGTGCTCCAGAGACGATATGAAATGCTTTTGTTTTTGAGGCGACGAGTCAGGCGCGATCGCCTTGTGCCACGATAGCCGCTTTGTGCCCTCAATCTGGCTAGCAAACCGACCTGACCCAACCCGATCCCCCAATGGGCACCTCGTACGGAAGTTTCTTCTCTTATGCTTGTCTTAAAAATTTCAGTGTGTACTTTACAGAGATGTGAGCATGCTTTTTTGACCATATAGAGGACCTACACAGTGATTAAAATTTTTTTTTTAACTTACAAAACCGGGCATTCAAGTAGAGAGCTGGTTTTATACAGAATACCTTTAGGCAGGGAAAACATTATTCAGTGCATTTCAAACTTGAAGCAAAACAGGGATAACTAAACACCTTTTCATGTTGTGATGCACACAAAATGAAGTCCACAAGATGTCTATGATTTATTTGAACATCTCTCTATATATATCTATATGGTCAGCTTAATCAGAACATAGATGTTACACCTGGCCATAGGATAAAAGCTATCAAACCTGCTTAATAGCAGTCGGGTGCAAAGTTTTTGTAGGAAAAAGAGACAGCGGAGTTCTTGACCCCTTTGACACAGCTCTCGTACACCGTACGTCCAACACCAAGTGCCATGGTGCTGTCTTCCCATACAATGAACATCATACAATCAGCTGATTACAGAAATCGTGTGGACCATTATACGTACACCACACAAGATTTTTATTTGCACCAGAATAGCTTGGAACATAATTTTACTGGAAAATTGATGAAAGATTCAAAATCTGTTATATTGAAATTGTACGAATCAAGTAAATTTTAAACTTTGTCTTCAACAGTGAAATGAGCGATGTTCCTCCTTGTGTTCAGATGTGGGGCGTGTTGTTTATCGGGACAAAGGTAATTTACAATAAAACCTACCAGAAGGACAAGGTATGCACTCCGTCTGTCTAGTCTCATTCTGGTAATAGCCGATGTCACAGAACTCACATTCATCATCAACAGCATAAGTTCCAGCAGCACATTCAGCTGAGAATACATATATATATAAAAATGGATACTTTTTTAAAAGCAGAGAACACAAGAAACCTTTTTTTTTACTCAGCTGAGAACATTAAAGTACAAATTAAAGTTCTTTTTTTTCAGTAACAAATTAAGAACAGTTCTTCTCACTTTGCCTCACTAAATTTCAAGGGCAGTTGACAGTAAATGCTTAAACTGTCAGGATGACTGATTATTACTCATCTCAAATGTTCCTGCTAGAGCAGCTTTGCTTGTGGATAAATTCAGGGACTTGTATACTGAGAATGCATACATCAAAATGGAAATCAAACTAAAACTTTAGCATACAAGACAAGGGAAATCATCCTATCTTTAGGCTTTGATGTTTCTCACTCAATAGTTATTTTTACTTTCTTATTGAGTCTTTTTGAATTTTTCAGAAATGGTATAAATCGGTGGGACTTTTGATAACAGAGTACACGGAAGTCCTTAACCCTATCCACACGCCCTAGGGTCATTTTGTACCCCCTCGGTTGTATTCTTTACATTTTAAAAGACTTCTAGTGCGAAGGTCTCTTTGAAACTTTCCGTATTTCTCAAAAAATCATTTTGACAGACTGCTATGGAAAGCGTACGGATCGGATTAACGAGTAAATTTCCTTTTTGGAAAGTGGTGGCACAGAGTACCCCACGTCGTATGGATACGATAGTAAAACTCGACATATGGAGAGGGTTAAGTCTACCAAAATGAGCTTCATGAAAGTAAAAGGTAGTAAACAATATATAAATTTCCTCCATTTTTCCTTCGATAAAACGTCTTTTGCATTCTTTCATATTATGCAGAGCACAAAAAGTGACTTTCTAATGTGACATTTACAGCATGACTTTCAGCATAAGCTCTTGCTTTTATTCGCAGTGTAAAACTAGTTCTACGACTAGTACCACAAAGGCCTTCCTCCTGCACAGTTCCAGATGGACAGCCAAAGTCCACTGCTAAGGCCAGTGTATCTTTATCTCCCTTGTATGTTTGTCCACCCACAGTCACTGTGAACAGTTGCTCTGAATTGTTCACAAGTGCCTGCGCTGCATCCTCAAATTGGTAGACAGACTCCTGCTCATTCTCAATCTCTGCATCTGAATTTAAAAAACAAGCACACAATATGCATAACTGGCAAAGGAATCTACATAAGAAAATGAAAAGAAATTGTGTAAGAACGTTTTCCGATTTCATAATAAATAATATGCACTTGGTCTTTTTTTTACATGACATTCCCTGTTTTATACAAATTCTCATTCTGAGACATTCGTAACAACAACAAAAATTCCTCCTTTGAAGTTATGGAAAATTCTTTACAGTAGAGAAAGTGAGAGGGGTCTCAGAATAAACTCTTTTTTCAAGCGCCATTGTCTCACAATCTAACAGAGCAACCAGACTATGAAAAAGTTGAGGTTGTAAGATGTAAAAAGTACACCCTTAACTCATGTGAGCTTGAGCTATTTTTCACCCAACAAATATTGCAGCCTGACACTTTTGGGGTATATTGAAGCATTAACCACAAAGAGACTGTGAAAGCTAACATAACAAGAAAAATGAAAAAAGAGAAAGAAAGAAATGCTCTCACAGAAAAAGAAAATTGCATCTAATTTGTCTTAAGAGCTTTTTTAAAATCAATATTTTGCAATGGCAACAATGTCTAGGGGTTCCGCATTTTTTTTGCTCCCAATTTATAATAAAATCATCTATCGCAATGCAAGGATGACAGACTTGGTCCGTTACAGCTCAAAAAGTATTGCACATAACTTCACAAAATTTTTAATGACATGAAAAAAGTGGGATAACTGTTGGCACATCATTTCCTGTTGCTTGTAACCGAAAACATCAGAGATATTGATTGATAAAGGGCATCCCATAAATACACTACAGGATTAAGCCACCAGGCCAGCGGAGCTTCCCATAAATACACAGGAATAGGCTCAAGTGAGTTAAAGAGGTGACATGTCTTCTAGCAACACATCCATTCTTTAACAATGCTGATGCTTGAGGTCCATCCCGTCAGTTATGGCCATCCACTGACACAAAAAAATTCAGAGTCCCTAGAATGAAATTAAGATCTTTATGTGAGAGAAGTTTTTCTTTTGTTGCCCCTAAAATTTGGAATTCCTTGTCCCTTGGAGTTGTTAGCAAGTGAGGAAATATCCTGTTTTTGCTGCTGTCCTTGTGTGTATATAATTAATGTATGGCTGAGAAAGTTCTTACTCATGTGGTTGAACTGCGTTTCTTGTGTGTATGAAGTTTTACTCTCAGTAATCATCTCATCGATGTAAAGCACTGAGAGCTTGTATTGTATGGGATCGAGCACTGTAATAAATGCAATCTATTTTTATCGTCATCATTATTATGATCATTATTGTTTTTATTATTATATTAATTATTGTTATAATTATTATTAATATTATTATTATTATCATCAGCATGATGTATGCTAATGACAATATATTCTCTAAGAACATGACATACATTATATTCCTATAAAAGATGCACAATATGAAATAAAATGCTCTACCGTATGGTATATTAACTCTTTATCACCGGCAAGCCTTTCCCTTCGGCTCGCGGTTGGAACTACTGTGCCGTTCAGTCGCTGACAGCGGCTCGGGGACATTCCTTTACGACCTCGACATCAAATCACTTTTCGTCAATTGCCGAAAACAGGTCTCTTATACCGGAAGTTCATTCATTAGATGAAGAAATATCGAAATAGGTTTGCTAGTTTCAATTTAATGACCCATTTAATGATGTTTTTGTAATTTTTAGATTTAGCACCAAAAAATGGCCCCGGCGTAGTGGGGTCTTGACTGCCCCAACAGTAAAGCCACTCACAAAATATGAAAAGGTTATATATCAAGAGGATGAGTGTATGTGAAAAGACATGAATAACAAACGCTACCTACAAGAATTTAAACTAATGTGCTAAACAGTCTTTAAAAAAACACAACAAAAATCACCTGTTGCATTTTCCATGTCTATGCCACTTGAAGGAGACGTAACATTCAACACTATAGAGAAGGTCACAGCACCTGGAAAAGGTTAGGAAAATTACTAGGTTTCTGTTACATGTGCTCAGGATTCTCATTATAGAATTATATAAATATAACAATATATTGATTATATATATATTCATATATATATTTATACATTTTTTTCCTCTGTGTGCAACTCTAACCATGTATCCGCCAAAATAATTCCAAACACTTTTTTTGGAAAAAAAAGCATTTTCTTTCTTATTGTTATCTTCCAGAATTGCTCACATTTTGTGAAGAGTGTTCTTTTACCACTTATTGTAATTACGATTGTTAATAGCATAATCTGAGACGAAAAAAGTATTCACTGCCTCTCTGTCTGTGTCTCAGTCTGGCTGTCTGTCCGTCTGTTTGTGTATCTGTTTGTCTCTTTCTCTCTCTTTTTCTCCCATACACTCTCTCTATCTGATCTCTCTTTCTAATCTCTCTTCCCCCTCTCTCTCTTTCTAATCTCCCTTCCCCCCTCTCTCTTTCTCTCTCTCTATCTCTGAGTCATTCCCACTATACAGTTGAACCTGCCATGACGGCCACCTATATAATACTGCCACCGGTACAAATGGTCACTTTCCATTTCCCCCTTTGCATTTTTTCTATATAATTTAACTGTGTAAAATGGTCACCTGTCCAATGTGGCCGCGGCCACCTTATTTTATCAATCCACTGTCTAATTTACCTCCCTCAGGCGGCCAGGAGTGGTCACTGATTGCCCGACGCTTTGTCATAAACTTGGAATCGGCCCCTCACTCTGTGGATGGGCCATCATAATTCATTCAAATGTCACTATTGTTAGTCCCTCCAATGAATGTTTCCCCAAATTGACCAATGGGTATGCATAACAATAAATTTTCAACTGCTGGTGAGGGAAGCATGATCCGTCATAACCTATAAGCCCCATCCACAACTCATGCACAAATCGTATGTGAGGAGACTGGTCCCTGTTTTGTTTACCTAATCTGTAACGTAACAAAGTAACAATGGATGTTAATGTCATAACTTGCGACAGAAGCATCGTTTGTTCTCCGAGCGGTGGTGACCCAGTGTTTGTTTTACTATGGCACTCGGTCTTCATCATCTTACTTACATAATATTTCATTTATTTCACCCTTGCACAAAATCAGCAAAAAAAAAGAAAGCAAACCAAAAGACAAACCAACTAAACAGCAACAACAACAAATCCTTCTTACACCCCTTCACCCCCCCCCCCTTTCAAAAGAAAACAAAAACCCTTTGAATTTGCCCTACTCCTAATCCTTATATCAGCCCTGGTTTGAACTTCCGACGAGAATGGTTAGCTTTCTTTATTTTGATCAGTCCTGCCTAAGATGGCCACCTGTGTTATACAACCACTTTTCTCCATGACAATTGGTGGCCGTTTTTCACAGGTTTGACTGTATATTCATTCAACCTGGGTCCACGCAAGGTAAACAGCCATCAGTCAGATCAAATATCTGTCAAACCACCTTTCAAGTGTGGCGTCGACTTCCCTCTGCCTCTTGTGCCTGATGGTACAGGGAGAGAGTAAGTTCTCCATTTAAATACCTACTGAACACCCACCTGCAGACCTCTTGCCTATCCCCCCAGAAGTCACAGTGCTGTAGGAGACATTCAGGTTGCAAGAGTTGCCACAGCTGACAGTGTTCTGAACATTGTTCTGAACACCGTCACTCACTGCCTGAGGATCTGAGATGTCGTCCATGCGGGCAGACAGAGTCATAACCTTAGTTGTTGCCGGCTCAGCCTCTGATGGTGGAGATATCAATATTGATAACAATAACAATAATAATAATTATAACAATAACAACAAGAATACTAACAATAATAACTGGTAATAATAATAATAATAATAATAATAATAATAATAATAATAATAATAATAATAATAATAATACTGATAACAATAATAATAAAGATAATAATCAGAAGAACAAGAATAATGATGATAATAATAATAATAATAATATTAAATAGCATTTGTATAGCGCATATCGTCCATTTCAAGGGCATGTTCTAAGAATTTAAATCATTATCCCAGAAGACCGCAGAATAGTCAGAAACCTTCTCCACATCCTGGAAGCATCCAGTGCAAGCGGCTAATTATAGCTTGTTCACATTTCTCTGAACGCGGTTAAAACTAGGTTAAATGAAATTGCTCTGTTTAATCTTCTCAGATTTTTGCATAAGGGTCTAAAAATTGGATGACCAACAGAATCTAAAAGCCAAATCATAAAGGTCTTTGCAAACTACGGTTCCAAAACCTTTACTTTGATATTAGCCTAAAGTGGGTTAAAAAAAAATTTAAAAATAGGGGATCTACAATATATGCCTTAAACATTAAAAAGTTGACATATTAATTTTCTCAACATCAACATATCCTTTAAAGAAACATAATTCAAGAGATGGGGTGAGTACTTTTCAAGACTCATATGGAGACATCTAGACAGCCGTGGGTGAAATCTACAAGCTTAAAATTACACTGAAATGTGGGGGCAGGGTGGTGTCGCTGTCTCAAAATGAACAATCAGTAAGCTAGTTTATTGTAAGTCATCTATTTCAGTGATCCTGTGCATGCATCCAAAGAGCGACTTTTATTATAGGGCCCAAATAGAGAAAATTTGTATTACTGGATCAAGATTAAAAAAAAAAAAATTTTTGTTTGTTTGGTCACTGGCCTGCACAAGTGTCAAGCAAAATTTCGTGAAATGAACTAGAATTTGTTATCTCGGACTGAGGAAAAAGAACACGCTATAAGAGTTAAAAGACTAACAAACTAACAAGATCTTTTGCGGTCTATAGCCGGGTATTTATTCCCACCAGGGTGAAGCGAGCAAAACTCATGTAAACTGCCTTTTCCAAGGACACAACATCAGGCCCTTAATGCAGTTTGAACTCATGACTTTCCAGTTGTGAGCCCCACAACCTAACCACTACACCACCAATGCCACACAAAGCCATGGGGTAACATGGGATATGACTCTACCAGAACGCAGAACTTGGCTTTTTTGTCAAGTTCTTAAACACTTTTGTTTTCAAAAACCTGTGTTGGTTTTATACTCATACTATACTTATAAAGACACAGATATACCCTTCTGTGGAAAATACAAAAAACAAGTTCTGTTATCATTAATAAGCAAAAGAGTCATAACTCAAAACTACCAGTGAAATCGATTATAATACATTTTTTAAACATTAAATATAATAAATAAATAAAAGTATGCTTTCTGAGAGTTTCTTGACTATAGACAAAAAGATAATGTTGAAATACCAAACATATTGAAGAGTTCTAGTTCTAAAGCATCCCGTGCTCACAGACAGAAAGAAAAGTTCTAGAGCATCCCATATTCAAAAGTATAAAGAAAAGTTCTAAGGCATCATATTCACAAACACAAAGAAAAATTCTAGGGTATCATATTCACAAACACAAAAAGTTCTAGAGCATCCCGTACATTTACAAACACAAACAAAACTTCTACAGCATCCCGTGCTCACAAAGAAAGAAAAAGTGAAAAACATCTGATGTCAAGTATCAGAGACTCAAAGAGCAGTGATGCTTTGATAAGCGATTCCTTTATCCCCCCCCCAAAAAAAAAAAAAATCTTTGCTCACTTGTGCACTCAGGGAGTGAGGCAGACCATGTGTAGTTGCTGAGGATGCCGCAGGTGTAGTTCTGAAACCTTGTGGTGTAGCCTGTTTTGCAATTCACCCAGCAGATCTCCATGTTAGTTGTGGTGTTCGTGATGCACTCCACCGACTCATGAGTGAAGCGTCTCCGCAGCCTGGGACAAGCTGGTGAACATCAATAGTTTCTTTGTTACCATTTGGGCAGAACGAGAGCAGATTTGCAATTATGGGATGATTAGGGGTGCTTGGATTAAAACAGAAAGAGCATTCAAGATGGCAGAAAGAAACACTAGGGTGAGAGGAGTAAGTCCAATTTAGATGAGATACAGGTTAAAAACATTATATTGGATACATCTAAATTCCCATGCATATATAATTATACAGAGAGAGAGAGAGAGAGAGAGAGAGAGAGAGAGAGAGAGAGAGAGAGAGAGAGAGAGAGAGAGAACGAGATATCGAGGGAGAG